GTGTTTTGTTCTCTTCAACGGGCTCAGGGTTAGCTTTCTAACAGGGCTGAAGCGAAAGCAAATTATTTTCTACGATTAGCAGTTGGCCTCACCTCTTGGCAGCACGGTCATCTCTGGGTTTTTGACTCCTTCCTGGGGTGACTCACCCTCCTGGGGTGAGGCTGGACATTGAGGGTACAGCGCTGGTTAGCCAGCACCCGGGCTACAGGTGCTGGGTGCCTTGTGGTCACCACCGGCACCGACCGCCCATGCATCTAGCACGAGTGTGCGTGTGGGAGGTTGCAGGGAGGCGAGGCAGCCACCGACCTGGTTGCACAGAGCAGGACGGAGCGGTGAGGCTGCTGGGTGCGAGTCACGGCTAAAATGTTTGTGATTTTGTTTTTAGTTGTATTTGCAACAGTCCCCAGCTGTTACCTTTGGATTCCCTCCAGGTGCTTCTAAACTGGAGATATTTTGGATGTTGTTAGGGAATAAAGCACTATTTTTCTCTCTGTACACCATAGTCTGATATTCTCTCATCCCCTGCTTTATCTTCTACCACCAAGGAGATTATTTTTATGCTCTCCATCAGTGTAGTGACCCCCAACTGTTTTCTATTTATGCTCCCAGCAGTTGTTTGGTTTACCCTTGTTTGCTGATCCTCACAGATCTGTGTTTCTTCACTGCCTATGGCAGCTTCTGAGCTGGAGAAATATAACTTTAATTTAGTTTTTTATTTTATTTACAAAAGGAGAGACTGAGAGGTCAGGTACTGAAGTGGGGTTCAGTGCTTACGTAGGAGCAGGACCAAACAGTAAAGCCTATAGGAATAACAAGGCTCAGTGGTGCAGGGGTGGAGATGCTCCTTCCCTTTTGAGGTGCATCCTGCTGATGATCTCAACCCACAGCCAGAGGTGGGAAGTGCCTTCCCCTTGGGGTAGGCAGGAGCAAAAGTGTTTGGGAGCTGTTCCTTGCAAAAGATGATGGGGAGAGACTACCTTTGATAGGGTGAGAGACTTGGGTCTGAGTAAATCCCAGGCTGAGCGGACAGGCGCAAGGAGCAGAGGTGCGGGGTTGGGTTGCTTGTTCCAAGTGTGAATTTTCTCCTTCGCTCTGCTTGGGGTCCTTCTCCCATGTCACCAAACTCTTTTGATCTGAATTTACCCTGGACTGCTAAGGACCAAGTCCCACAAAAGTGTTCAAGGCTTAAAACAAGCTTTTGGCTTATGACTCCCGAAGTCTTACCCACCTTTGCCTACCTGCCCCTTTTACTGACCAAAGCTGAAAGCAAGCTGGCTGCTGGCCAGGGCGCTGTCGTATGTTAATAGTGTGATGTTCTATCAGAGGGGTACTTCAGAAAGGTATTAACAATTTTATGGTTAACCGTTTTACTGTTAGCCATTTGGTCCTCTGCCTGTACATCAGGACCTTGGTGAACTGGGGTCAGGGCAATCAGTTGGGTAGATTAGCGTAGCTCTACTGAAGTCAGCTGTGGATGGTGTAGTGCTGGGGTAATGCTTTCTGTGGGCTCACCCAGTAACAGTTCTTCTTTTGTTTATATAAATAAATGCGCATTTCATGTTTCATCTTTCCTCTGCTGTGTTACAGAGCCACAGGCAGCTGAGTGGCCCGATCACTGGCACAAGATCTTACACAACAAGTCCTATTTTAATAACACGAGGTTCATTTGAGATTGAGGCGTCGCAATACGTCATTGGTTCAGACATGATCACTTCCACATTTCTTTTTCTTGGGGAAGAGCTGGGGTTTCTTTCCATGAGTCTGCATGCCTTTGGTTGAGACCACACTTTGTGGCCAGCAGATGTTCTTCTCTGGCTTGAGTGCCAAAAAGATTTAATGAAAGATCAAAAAAGTGATGCTTGTCCCAGCCCCCAGCAGATGGACCCCATCTGCTCCGAGCAGTTCCCATCGGGCCATGCTGGAGTGGAGGCAGCCAGTGTCCCCCGTTCAACCCCTCCACCCCGACGTTCACTGTGAGCACAAAACGCGGGGCTGGCCACAAACAAATAAATAGAGAGTGCTGTGGTAAGCAAGGATGAGGACTCGTCCAGAATTTCTTTTTTTTTGGCTTTTAAAAGAGAATTTGTTGTTCATAATGTACAGTAAGAAGAAAAATGTAGAAAAATATTAAACTCATAAATGCAACCCTGAAGCTGCAAGGTCAGTTTTGGCATCCTGGGTGTAACAAATAGGGCAGGAGCAAAGCCACCCCTTCCCTGCACTCCTCCCAACTTCAGAAGAGCAAAACATCTATGAAGAATGGTGTTGGCAGGAGTATAGCTGTGTGAAAATAGAGAGCAAGAGAGATACGAGCAAGAAATCTGCTGAGAGCAACTTGTTATTCTCTAGATTTTGACAGATTGACTCCTTAATGTCCTCTCTGGGAATATCCTTTGGCATCGATCTCCATGGCTGCTTTTCAGATTTGTACTCCCTGCAGAGAGATGGTCCAGCTATGACACCTGCATCTTCCCCAAAGCTCAGTGTTGCCAGGGTCTGTGGCTTTTGCAATGCCCCTCTTTAGTTCCTGGGCTCCCGTAAAAGCCCTCTGCTTATTTCTCTGACCACACATTTGTGTTTTAAGACCTTGTGGTTTATGACCAGTCAGGATCAAAGCCAGCAACCCTGCCGGCTTTGCTGCTTTGCATTCATGTGTATCTCAAAACATGGAGGGATCGTCTGCCAAGGGAAGTAGAGGGTTTATATTGAGACAAGCTGGCTTGTAGGGTGTAACAGTGACCTACAGCAAAGAGCCTTGGAAACATTCAGGATCAGGGCCCAGAGTCTGCTAAGGGCTGTCCTCTTGTGCAAAAGAGACCTAATTTCACATGCAGTTCTGCAGCAGCTGAAACCTCCCAAACTGGTGTGGAGCACCGTCTTCTTCATGTATGGTCTTCTTTCCTTTGCGGGCTGCTGAGGAGGAGGATGAGGAGGGAGAAATTGTCACCATCTCAGTGAGGGAAGGAGAGGGATGCTCAGTGCCGCTGCAGCTCTGCTCTTTGCAGAGGAGGAGGGAGGCAGCCTGGGAAGTGCTGCCTCCACGCTGGGACCTGAGGTGCCACCTCCCCCGGCACCGCTACTGCTGCCAAACAGGGGTGAAGGAAGGACCTTTCTTCTGGGTTGGCTTGTGTTTTGGAGTGACATTTCCCAGCAGCAAGTGGAAAGGAGGAAGGAAATCTTATTTGCCTATAAAAGGATTCCCTGCCTGTATCCCACGTGTGGCATGTGAATGGGATGATAAGAAGAGGCGGTGGAAATCCTATAAACCATATCCCAGGGCGGGAGGCTCTCACATTCTGCTTTTCCCCTCTGCCTTTGATATCTCCGACCCTCTGACAGGGCCCTGGAGCTGCTCTGAAGAGAAATGCAAGAAGAAGAAAGCACTCCAATGACATTGACGCCAACTCCATTCCTTCAGCAAGCTATATATATTTTTATTTTATAGTCATTTGAACAGCGGAGAGTTTGGCAATAGCGACAGCCTCGGAAGCGTGCACTTTGCATTTGTGTGTGTGTGTTTCAATCCCTCCAGCTTGGCTCTCCCACTTGACGTCTTGGAATACCCACCACCGTGCCATTTTTAAACAAAGCAGCAAATTGAAATACCTCTCCCGTGGGCTCCCCAAGAGCATCATGTCTTCACACCCCCAACCTGGCAGCGCAGGGGATGTGACCCAAACTGGAGGGGTTTTATTACCAAGCATGGAGCTGCAAAGAACTGCTGATACCTTTCAGCCAACAGCCAGCAAATCAGCATTGGCAAAGCTTCATTAAGCTGTTGGGGTGACCTGCACTTCTTTCCCATCATTGCTGTTTATTTCAATTTATTTTTTTCTTTAAGACTTTTCTCAGCAAAAAATTACTGAGGCCATGGGCATGACTTTATTGGCACGAACAGTACTCAGCAGATTTGTGTCTGCTGAGGACTGTGCCTGGACCAGCAAAGACTGGAGTATTTCAGCTGGGTTTCCATCACTAAAATAGGTCAGGTGATTCCTAAAGCTGCTAAAGTGAGTTGTCCTGGGGTTCATTTTCAATAGACAGTTGGTTTTTATATGGCAGCGTATTACCTAATAGCATTACATTTCTGTTATTTTCCTAATACTTTTGTTTTCTCTTTCCAAGAATATATTTGACTGACTATGCTGTAAGTCATCACGGCTTCCTCTGATGCTGGAGAATAAATAAAGCTTCTGACAGGATTTTTTAAAAGATCTGGCAGTGGGTCTAGCTCTCCCACTGAAATCAGTGAAACATTAGCTTCCGACTGATGAGAGAAGGACCAAGAAAATGGGGCATGCTTCTGGAAAGGACGCCCTTCCTTCTCAGTAAGTCAACCCATGCCTGTTACTTGTGAATTCACTCACGCACATAGCTGGATGAGTCGGACAACCCGTTGAGCAGCTGGTACTCAGTCAATAAGCCCAACTGTATCTCTCAATGCAAAGCAGAGGTAACTCCCTCCGCTCATTGAGACAGGACCTTGATCCCCAGGAGCCTGAATCGGGGCGCTGTGAGGGACGAGGAGCTCAGTCCCCTGTGCCTCACTGCCAGGGCTTAAGGGGAAGCAAAACAGGAGAAGAAAGCAGGAGCTAGCTTTGCTGGTGTCCCAACGAAGCTCAGCAAGATGGGAAAGGACACTGCAGAGCGACAGCCTTGGGCAGCTGAGGCAGCTGTTTGCAAGGCTGGACTGCTGCACTGGTTCTTTGCCGAAAAAACCGAGCTGTCCTAATAAATTCTGTGTGTAAAAAAATATATCTATAAATCGTGCCTTAGTAAGAACAATGCAGCTGCTAACAGGGCTGGATGTGGCCAAATGAAATGCTCTAATGCTCTCTAATCCGATACCGGGCCGTGACGACTTTCTTTGCAAGGAGTGACTCTACTTGAACATGTGCGTGCATACGTACATGTACACGTACACATACCTATAGCTTTATAATCCTGCTGCCAAAGGGGGAAGACCCGGGTTGCGGGTGGGCAGGGGGGAGCCCCCTCCGCTACACGATCATGAACTGGCAGACGTAGGGCAGCTGGTCTCTGCACCTCTTGTCAAACCACTTGCCGACAGCAGCCCCTGACAAGGCCGCACAGTTTTCCAGCTTGCCGCCGTCGGGCTGGGTGGTGATTTCAGTCTCCCAGTTCTTGTAGCGGACGGGGCCGCCCGTCATGTCGACCCACTTGCCCTCCGCCGCCATGTCGTTGAGGCCCAGCCAGATCTCCGCCTCGGAGCCGATGCTCTTGCGCATGTAGTCGTAGAGGGCATCGTTCTCCTCCCCGCTCTGGGGGGTGCTGAGCGTGCCGCCCTGCGAGATGCAGTTTTCGCTGGCCTCGTGGTACGTCTTGGTCTCCGAAAATGCAAGAAAGCATTTTAGGTGAATTTTGGTGCCTTTCAGGCAAACTGAGAGGTTACCACGTGAACAGAACAAAAAGACAGAAAGGGAATTGGTTTTAAAAACAGCGCCCAGGAAGAGGCGGCGGCAGCAAACGCAGCAGCCAAACTACAAACTTGATTTCTTAGGCCGTGTAGCGACTCTCGGCAGCACGGGAGTCCCAGGGGCCCTCTCCCTCCTATGCAGGGCATGGCTGTGGAGACGTGCCCTCCCTGTCTGCAAACCATTGGGAAAAATGGACCTCGGGGTGCCCCTGTCACCCTCCTGGGCTCTACTGCTGCCAGAGCAGAGGCACAGCGTTGTCCTCCTACCCCTTCCCCCAGCCTCGCTCTTCCCCACCTGCTGCTACGCTTTCTCTGATGTGTTTGTGGGAGGTAAGGTTTGTGATGGGCGCTGCCGGGTGTTGGAATGTTTTAGAAAAAAGTCTGCAATTTCAATTCAACCACCTTAATTATGCAAGCCTGAGAAAAATATCTTTTTTAATAGGCTTTGATCAGAAGTGTTGTGCTTGCATAGCTTGAGGTCTTCAGAGGAAATTTCTACTTGCCTCTGATTTTATTGTTAAGAATAGCAATTTATTTTATTTTTTTTTAAGCTCTAAACCCTGCGAGTGCAGGGTACCGTAGCCAGACAATAACTAATCAGAGCCACACATTAATATCCAAATATCAATATCAAATGAATGTGAGCTTGGAACTAAAGCCTTGATTTTGCTTGTGTTCCTTTTCTTTTAAGGAGAAAATTCTCCTTAACTTGCATTTTCCTCTCATTTCTGTTTCGTATTCTGCAAATCCCTCTCCTGTCGATGTCAGTGGAGTTTGCACAGAATAACCATGGAGCATGGCTGGAAGATGGACATTTTAGGACTGTCCTCTATATGTGTTCAATGAAGCACAGTGGGACTGACCTTCATGAGGTTCCCTGGGCAATACCATGGTATGTATAACAGACCAGGTCACCATTTCACTGGGGTTCAGACAAAAGAGTAAGCTACATTTGACTGAAGTACAGCATAATCCATTACCCATCCCTCTGATTCATAAAAGGAAAATGAACATCTGGCTGAGTGTCATAGAAATATCCACAGCTTTACAAATGGGAAGATCTAGCACATAAAGAGGGGGGGCATATGCTGTACAACTCATGTCATTAACTGCTTGAGGAGCTTCATCTGCCTGAAGTAATTGCAGTGAGCCCACACTTTGCTTTGATCCCCCAACCTCTCTCCCTGTGATGGACTCCTTGTCGCAGGGCGCTTGGGCATCTCTTGTTAAAGCGTGTGGAGCAATTGTAGCTGCTTTATAAGCACCTCCTCTCTCAAAGCCAGCTCCTCTCTCAAAGCAAAAGCCATGCCTTCTTTAGCGAGTCCTTTACCTGTCTGGAGTGCTTGCTTTTCCTTCAGTAGAGCGACCTCCTGAGAGATGTTGTCAATCATGTCCTTCAGGTCTTCAATCATTTTGAGGGTCACACCATCTGTTGGAGAAAACGAGGGAGGAGCATAAACATTGGCCACATCCCCCGGGGAGGCAGCTGAAGCTGTTCCTATCATCAAAACTCCCCAGTTCTCTGCCCTCAGAGAAAGACAAGCAAAAGGGATCCGCAAAGTCAACGCCTGTTCCCCTTGCACATCCATCACAGTGAGCGTTCGCTCGCTAGCCTGGTTCCACCAGCAACCCAATTTTCCCAGTTGGGGTTTCAGGGCTTTGCACCCTGTGGGGCGGTGGTGTCTCCCCTTAGGCTGCTGCGGCAGTGCTGGGGTGGGGGTCGCACGCATGAGCACCACGAGGTGCAGGCTCATGTCTGGAGCCCCTGTGGAGGGGCAGCACCTGGGGTGGTGCTGCACTGGGGTCCAGCTCCCAAAATGCAAGAGGGCACCATATGATGCTGCCTTTCCTGAGCAGGAGTCCTGTTACACATGAGTGTTTTGTGGGGAACTTAAAGCTGCTGCTGAATAGGATTTATTGTTTTTTTTTTTTTAAATTCCTCAAAAACATGCCCTCTCGCTCTGTATTCACAGCACACCCTCCTGGCTTTCCTTAAACACCCTAACGCATGATTTTCTCTGCTTGCAGTCCCTGCTGTGCCCCCACGTTAGTCTGCTCTCACGGGTGCATTGGCAGGAAAGAGCTTTGCTCGCCAGGCTGACGCTCAGCAGGCAGCGGGAAGGGGCTGGAAGGGCTGCGGTACCTCCACTAGATCTGCCCCTGCACCATCAGCCACCCATCCTTCAGCCCACCAACAACGCCACCCCTCGGCCATCACAGCTGCCTTTGCCCTGCCTCTGCCTTCAGCATCCCCAGTGCACGTACCCAAAAACTGGCCAGAGCTGCTCTCCTGCCATGAGAAGATGCCTCCTTGGCCAGGGCATTGGTTGCAGCCACTAAAGCCTATATCTTGCTAGGTGTGTCACCTCTGCAGCAGCTCTAACCATTAATTGGTACTTGGCTTTGTCCTGTCTAGGCCAAAAGGACCATTGTGCCTTGGAGGTAGTAGGAGATCAGACATCGAGGTGTTTGTATTCATTACACTATCTCTGCTGCTCCTATTGCTTTACTTCGCCTGGCGTAAGCATCTGGTAGTCCTCATGCGGTGAAAGGAACGGGGACAATTTGCCCACGAACGCAGTAGGATGGGCTTCCTCCAGGGTCAAGGAGATGGTGAGCAGAGGCACCAAACCAGGTAAGTGGGGAAGCAGCTTGGATGCAGACCAAAACCACCAGCCCAAAGATTACATGGTGTCATGAATATGAAAAGCCAGCCACATCAGGAAGAGGGCATTAAGCTGCTTTACTCATTGCTCAATTAACTTTAATGGGTACACTTAACACTGAGGCACTAGTTATTATTTTGGTGCCTTTGATGAAAATGCTTTGTGGGAAACAGCTAATTAATGCCTTTTTTTTTTTTCCCATGCAAGCCTCTCAGAGCAGAACAAACGTCCCTTAGGTTTAAGTAACATCCAAGGGCCATGGCAGGACACTGTTAATGAGCCTTGCTGGGCAGCTCCTTACGTTGTTCCAGCTGGGTTTGCTGGTGGGTTCCCCTCTAGAGGGTCCCCATCACCCAAGGTGGACACATCTCCTTGATAACTACCTAAAAGCGCCCTGTCCCTTTTCACCACCAAGTTTCCAAGCCCTGGGTCACAAGATGTTCCTGCAGCAGCGCGTTCCCTGGGACATCGCAGGGAGAACCAGGAGTGGTTAATTTGCACTTCATCTACAAAGCAAGTACCATGGCTATGTCAACAAACATCGAGTTTTCTACTCCGGTGCCAGAGGTTTTTGTCTCTGCGCTGTTATTTCCTCAAGGCTCACCTCCTGAAGCCCATGACCAAGGCTATTACAGCTTGGGTTTGCTGCGACTGAAGCCAGCGTGGGGGCTTCCAGAGCTGCCCATGGGAGCTGGAGCAGGTCCTTGGGGCTGACTGCGAGCAGCAGGATTAAGCGCGGGCAGAGATGAAAAGGAGACTCACAGAAGGATGTGGGTCGCAACAGCCCGTTGATTTGAAAGCCTGGCCAATAATGTATTTGATGCTGCAAATGGGAGCTCTTGCCCATTTTTCTTTGTTCTAATTATATGCTGAATAACAACCAAATCCCTCTGTACTTCATTTTGATTATTTAACTATCCCTATATGAAATTTGGATCTATATCGAGGCTGCTTAGCTTTGCCTGGGCAGGCATCATTTGGTTTGTTCCTATCCAAACAGGTTTCTATCCCCCGGCAGAGCGAGCATCACTCTGGTTTGCCATGTCTGTCATCAAACCTCCCTGGCCATCGGTATTTCTTCTGACACCAGGCATTTCCCTGAATGTCCCAGCTGGAAAAGGTGCTCCCATATTGCAGTCTGTCCCTGGATCAGAGGAGGGGACCGAACGCACCCGCACTGGGCTTGTATCAGTGTAAATGTTGTCAGGCATTTTCTGGGAAGAGCACCCAGACTCCAAGATTACATGGGAATTTTGGGCAGCCTCAGGAGCGGCGCCCACATCAGCCCCTACCCGCTGATTTAAGCATCTGGACTCCAATGGCCGGCTCCAATTACCTTAAAAATACATGTGAGAGCAATGCAAAGATGCTCCTTCCCATGGCCCCGTCACCCCGTCGCGACTGTGACCAAGGGGAGCCCCACCCAGGGCTGGCGGGTCCCCAGCCTGGACCCCTGAGCAGGGGTGCCATCGTCCTCTGGGCAGGGGTGCCATCGTCTGCCGCGGCTCCTGCCTCCCCTGGGCACCCTTCGGGGTGAGACCCCTGCGGCTGCCGGAGGAGGGCAAATCCCATCTGCCCCCCAAGACATCGGGGTTTGGGGAGAGTTTGCT